TTCCTCACCTCTGGGAGGTAGATGCTATTATTATTCCTATTTTACAGTTGAGGAAACTGGGTCGAACAGAGGTTTAAGTGATTTGCCTAGGGTTACACAGCTAGTAAGTGTCTGAGGCAAGATCTGAACTCAGATCTTACTGACTCCAGGCCCAGCATCTCTCCACTGGTTAGCCAAACAGAATTGCCAATGTTTACATGTAGTAAGTGAAAGTGTAACTCCAAGTCTACTGTTATTTCCATTCTACCATTTTGCCAATAGAGACAAGATCCAAATAAGAATATGACATCAGCAGGTTAGAGTGGAAAGAGGGGCAAATTATCAATCAGTGGACTGGGGTTCAAATCCTGCTTGTGTCCATCTTACCTGAGTGACCTTGGGCAAGTTACCTAATCTTTCCAGGCTTCAGTTTCCTTTTCTGTAAAATGAGAGGATTTGAGTAGATGAGCAGTAAAATCCCTTCCAGTTCCAAATCAAAGATCTTACACCTATCAGAAGAGCATGAAGTACCGCATGTCCTAGTATCGTCTGCATTTCTTCTTCATTTTAGGGCTAACTGTCCTCAGTTGATTACTTCACCCTGGTATCAGCAAGGTCATATGATGAGGTAGGGACTCAGCCAAAGAAAGGCTAGCTCAATGATCACTCTTGGAATGGTGGGAATCCTGCAGGTCATAGATGAACAATTTGTATGTTAAATAACATGGGATGGTCACCAGGTCAAATAAGATTTTGTTGTTATTCAGTTGTTTCAGTGGTGTCCAACTCTTCATGACTGCATTTAGCATTTTCTTGGCAAAGATCCTGGAGTGTTTGCCATTTCCTTCTCCAGCTCATTTTACAGATGAGGAAACTGAGGCAAACAGGTGAAGTGACTTTCCCAGGGTGACATAGCTAGTAAGTGTCTGAGACCAGATTTGAATTCAGGTGTTTCTGACTCCAGGCCTAGTGCTCCATCCACTGCACCAACTAGCCGCCCAAATAAGAAGATAGATACCTCCCGTCTGGATAAAAGGGAGTTTCTAGAGATAAAGATAGGTCTGCCCTCTCTAGTGTCACCCTTGGGTGCTATCCAAAACAGCTTTGTTTCAGTGTGTTAGCTTAAATTCTATTTAAAAATCTGGTCTGGGAAAGAAGGCACTGAAAGAACAATTTAAGCTCAATTCTGCAAGATCCATCTTATAGAATACAATCCCAGGTGTAATCTACTGCCCCCACGAGACACTTCTGCCATGTACCTGAAGGGGTTAAGCCACTCTTCCTGAGGCCCCCCAGCCTGGGCAGGGCAGCGTGGATGCATGCAGAATCTGTGTTTTATACATCTAGTATCACAGTGAACAAACTCTTGATCCAGCTGACGTAGGGTCTAACACCCATCTCCACATCCAAGACTCACTGGCTCTTGTTTTCCAAAAGCATTTCCAATACATCCTTTTCTCTCTTCTTTCTTTCAAGCTCCACTCACACCTCAACTGGAGAGTGCCTCTTGTCTTTGTCTTTTGTAGAGGGCTCCGTGGTGATGGGTATAACACATTTGTTCACATCAGTTTCTGAATTTCATCCAGCTCTGAGAGCCAAAAAGCAGAGTGCGGTATGGCAGGAAGAGAAGAGGAACAGTACAAATAGACGGTGGGATGCATTCTGGTTCCCCCATTGGCTGTGACTCATTCCAATTGTTTACCTCATTCATCAACCTAATCCCTTTTGCTGGTAGTAGCTCCTTCTATCACAGGATCTGAGGAAAAGTTGATGGTTGACTGTAGGTTGGATGGGATAAATGTGAGCTAGATGGGACCTTCTTGGCCTACAGGGTTTGCCCCCAAATTGGGCTTCCTTCCTTTGAATTCCCATAGCAAAGAGATCAAACAAATGGGAAAAGGACCCACATGCACAAAAATATTCATAGCAGCTCTATTGTGGTGGCAAAGAATTGGAAATTGAGAGGATGCCCATCCATTGGGGAATGGCTGAGCAAGTTGTGGTATATGAATGTAATGGAATACTATTGTGCTATAAGAAATGATGAACAGGCAGACTTCAGAAAAACCTGGAAAGACTTATATGGTCTGATGCTGAGTGAAGTGAGAAGAACCAAGAGGACTCTGTACACAATAACAGCCACATTATGCAATGACTAATATTGTTAAACTGAACCCTTCTCAGCATTACGAGGATCTAAGACATCTCCAGAGGCCTCAGGATGGAAAATGCTGTCCACATCCAAAGAAAGAATGGAAGTTGAATCACTATCACTTATTTTTGCCTTCTGTTGAGTTCTGTTTCATCTTTCTGATGGTTCCTCCTATGGGTTTTAATTTTTACTTACAACTTCACTAACGTGAAAATATGTTTCATGGATATGGAAATGTAAAGCCTATATCAGATTGTGCGCCGTCTTGGGGAGGGTGGGGGGGGGAGAAGGGGGAGAAAAATTTTCAACTCAAAAGCATATGGAAGTGATTGTTGATAAATCAAAAAAATTAATAAAATTTAAAAAAAAAAGAAAAGAAAAAAAGAATTCACATAGCACTTTATTTGTAGCTCTCATGTACTTACCAACATTTATTTGGTATTAGAAATAATAAATGCTCTCCCTCCTCACCTCTGCCTTATGTAAGTTCACTCAAGGCTTAGCTGAAGTGATACCTCCTTCAAGAGGCCTTTCTTGATTACCCCTTTTTTAGTTTTCAGTCATTATATATTATTTGCATATTTCTGAATTTACTTATTTCAGTACAGGTGGCATCCCCTTAGTTGAATATAAGCTCTTTGGAAGGCAAGCGTTCTCATTTTTACATTTTTATACCTAGTACCTGGTACAGTGCTGGGCAAACAGAAGGCACTTAAATGTTGACTGCCGGTTAGTTTGGTGAAGTTAGACAGTGGGGATAGAACTATAAGTATAAAGCATCTAGAATTTCTTAGGCCCATGCTTTCGGCGCTGGTGACTTTAAACTTGAAAACCTAATTGTTTCTCTGGCCACCGTGAGTAGTCAACATGCATTTGTTAAGCATCCACTATGTGCTTAATCAGCAATACACTAAGCACCAGGTCTCTCCATTTAAGTGTATAGTTAACAAACATATTTACCTAGCACTTTCAGATTTATTATCTCATTTTATCTGGATGAAATCCCTCTGGACACAATTATCACCCTTGTACCCAATTATACATGGATAGGACAGCAACTTGGAAATGACCATATAAGTGTTTATATGTAGTGAGTACATAGTGGAAAGACTCTTGGATTTGGGGTCCACTTAGTCCAAATCTCAGCTTCAACTCCTGTGACTTTGGGCAAATCATTTCCCTTTTCTGGGCCTCAGTTTCCTTCTCTGTAAAATGAAGGAGGTGTCCTTTGATGACCTGTCAGGTCCTTACCAGTTCTAAATCTATGATCTTATGACCTAAGGTTCAAACTCCTGCTCTCTTACTTAATTGCTGTACAGTCTTGGGAAAGTCACTAGCTTCTCTAGATCTCTGTTTCCTTACTTGGGAAATGTGGATAATAATATGAACGTATTAAAGAGAAGTGCTAAATTTGGGCTCAGAGGATCTACATTCAAAACCTAGCTCTGCCAGCTGGGCAAAACCACAGACATTCTCTGAGTCCCTGTTTTTTTTTAATCTATAAAATGAGAAGTCTGGACCAGATGACCTCTGTCATCTGGCTCTAAATGTATACTTGAAATGAGACCATGTACATGAAAGGACTTTGAAACTACAAAGCACGCTACCAAGGTGAGTTGTTATTGTCATTTGAGCTATTGAAGGAGGTTGTATGAGATCGTATCTCTGGTTTGACCTGAGCACAGGAACATTGAGGTGGTTTGGGGAGAGCTCAGAATTCATTTTGGGGATTTCATTATCCCATGAGAAGCATTATTAAAAGATGAAAACCTGGGCTCACTATCTGACTATCCCTGATGCCATAGGCCCTTGGGAGGATCCCTCAGAGAGTTGTCTCCCATTCTACAGCATTTGGACATAGAACAAGATTCAAGAGCTATATAGCCTAGTTTCATAGTAGAATTGTAATGAAGCTGTTAGAGGAACTGAGAAGATGGGGATAAAGATATAGCCATGGTGGATGACAAGGGTTGTATGAGAAGGAGAAGGTACTTCTCACCTTCCCCCTTGAACACTTCCACCCTGTAACATGACTTGGGACTTGGACTCCATATAAAGTCCCCCTACCCTCACCCTCCTGGTAGAAGTTTCACCTGGACTCTCTGGGAACTGAAGGAACAGTAAGAGCCCTGCAGGCCTGCCACAGAAGTCCCTGTACAATAGTTCTTAGATGAAATAGAGTTTTATAGAAACTCAACCATGCATAGTTAGGAAAAAGATTCTGTCCTGGTCCCCAAGTAGACCTGTTCAGCTGTATTTCCTGCACCAACATAGTTAAGCCCCAGCTTCCACACATCTGTTAAGAATATCAACTAGGGCTGGGCTATTGTCCCTAACCCAGCCCTACATCTACTTAGCCAACTATGGCAGAGCAACTATGAAGGGAAAAGGGGGTCAAAAGGCTTTCTCTGGCTTTTGGTTATAGGAGGCCTACCCTAACTCAAAGGATAAATTATATCTGGAGAAAGGTTTGATTCAGGTCATAGTGTCCAACATGATATCCAGTTATATTTCCAGGAGTCAAGCTAATGGAGACCTAAAGATTTCTCCCAAATGGAGGTATTCTATAGGCAACTAGATGTGTGAGCAGAGCACTGAATTTGGAGTCAGGAAGACATAACTTCAAATCCTCCCTCAGACATGTGCTAGTTGTATGGCAGGGGGCAAGTCATTTAACCTCCTCAGCTTCAGTTTCCTCATCTGTAAAATGGGGGTGGTAATAGCCTCTATTCCTTAGAGTTGTGAGGATAAAATGAGATAACATGTTTAGAATGCTCTGCAAGCTTTGAAGTGTTTTATATAGATATGAGCTATGATTACTATCAACAGAAAAAACATGCACCTCATTTCTGTAAGCAAGAAGGCTTACCTCCCATGAGGAAGAGAAGCCCTGCCACATACTGCATAAGGCCTCGGTCCCAGCAGCAGCCCAGCACCCCGATGATCCAGCCAAAGAGGATGATCGCCACTGCCATGCCCATGAAGCCAGCTGTCATTCTGCGCAGATCTGGAGCGGAAAAGTATGCAACCAAGAGTTAGAACCAGAATCTTACGGCACACAGAGAGAAGTGCAGAGCTTTGCTTTGATTTGGAGGAGCTATGTTGCTTGGAGGTCCCATAGCAGGTATAGGGACTAGATGGGAGATGCTCTCCATCCATCCAGAATGTAGTGATTTTGTCCATTGCAGACAGATACATATTGTCCTTCATTGACAAAAACATCGTGATAGCAATTATAGAGGTGTGACTGGGAATCCCAAATGAGCTTGGGGTGGTCTCATAGAAGTGAGAGCTGGTTTTGGTAAAACTCCTTTATACACTGCATTCTAGTCTGGGTCTTTCCATTTGCTAGCTAGGTGAACCCGGGCAAATTATTTAACCTTTCTGGGCTTCAGTTTCCTCATTTGTCAAATGAGAATGTTGGATTAAATGACTTCTAAACTCTGAATTCTATGAACCTATAACATCTCCTGGGGGCTTCTCAGCAATGTGACCAGCCCCTTGGTATGTATGTATATGTGTTTGTGGGTAGGCATGTTTCCTTTTCTCACTCAACAATGCTTTCTAACTGCCCTTTTCTCTCATGCACACAACAGCCCATCTGTCATTGTGACCACCCAAATGACCCGTGAAGTCCCCTTCTCTCCATCAAACTGCAGAGACAGCTCCACTCCACACCTCACTGACCAGAAGTGTGGAGGGTTTGGCATGGTTGCTCAGCCAACCCTCCTGTACATGGCTGGGATATGGAACCTTGGGCAACCTTCTTGTTTGGGGCACAGATGAGGAGGGACATCATCTGGCTGTGGCATTGTCACTAGTTGGAGAAGGGTAGAATGGATACCACTTCTCAGTTACACTTGGCATTGTGTTCTGCTTCCTTCTGGGTCACCTTATCTATACTTCTATGCTTTGGGGCATGTCTGAACTGCTATCAGCGTTCCTTCATTCACCTGCTCCTTCCACCACTAACCAAATTCCCATCCTTTCCTCCCCCTCCAAATTTCCTTCACTTTACCCCTACCAATTCCTGGTCACCTCAACCCAGAATTTATCCCCCTTCGTCCAGAATACATGTACCTGCAAACACAGTCCAGAATCAAGTAGAAGCAAATCCATTTGGGGCAGCCTACAGCTCACTGATTTTTAGCTACTGCCCTTCTATGTCCTGGGATGGGGCACAAAAGGAGTTATATGAACACTATGCAATTTTGCAAATATTACCATGCTAATCTATGGAGGTTCATGACCATAACATGCATACAGGGCATATGCTGATTATTCCAGTGGGAAGAGTGATGGGTTTGGAGTTAGAAGATTTGAGTTTGCATACCAGATCTGCTAATAATATCTATGCGAACTTAGGCAAATCATTTCAAATTTCTGAACCTGCATTTCTTCATCTATAAAATTAAAAGGTTCAACTGAATGACCTCGAACTTGAGGTCTTATAATACTGGAGTTAGAGATAGGGGAGGGTGCACTTGGCTTAAGTGCCATCAGTACTTAGCTTATGGCAGAAGATCTCTCTCCCCACCCATTTCCATCTGTCCTCCACACTGCTCCTGTGGGAATTGTGCCCTGCTTCATTGAATGCTGAATGCCAATTCAAGGAAGCCCTGAGAGGGGCAAGGCAGGAAGATAAAAGGAGAGGGGCTGATGGAGCAGTGGCTAATGGCTCTCACTCTGTCAAGTGAGTAGGCTGATGGGTGGCCCCGGTAGGAGAGAGGAGAGAAAAAGGAAAAAATACGGTTCCACTCCTGCAATACTCAGGCTGTAGATTCCCACAGAAGAGAAAGAGGGAGGCTCATCTGCCTGGTTTACATATGCAGGCTTTGCAGAGGAGTCAGGGTTACTTCCTGTTGAACACAGTTCCCTCTCTCCTCCCACAAACTAATCCCAAAAATGCTTGGTTTGGCTGTGTAAAAGTAATGCTAATTACAGTCATTTACATGAACTGCTTGCTATTTATTCCTAATTACCATGCGGCACAATAACAATTATTTATATCATTTGTGACAGGTTCTTTCCCCTCTCCAGGCTGATCCCTCTATTGGAAGAGGTGTGTGGATCCTCAGCCTATCTGAAGGCTAGCCTGAGATCTATTCTCATCACCCTGGTGGTATCTTGACCAGCTTCTGAGTCCTCCAGCCTCATCTGGATAAACATAACAACAATGGCCCTACTGGGGCAAGGACAGCTCTCAGCAAATGTACAGTAGCCATGCTGCTTTGGCAGGTTCAGAACCACTGACAGTTCCTGGTCTCTGTTACGAACTCACACTACATTTGTTTTTAAGTTTTGACTACAATCCAAAGCTCTCTACACATTTGTTCAGTCTTCCTAGTTTTTTCCCTTGTGTTGCATGGTTATCCATTTACTGCTTAACTCTATTAGAAGGAACAGTGTTGCCAAGTCATTTTTCACCCAACTTCCTATGAACCTGTAATTTTTCTCTAGCCTCAAAATATCGTAGCTTCAATTATCACCTCTATGAAGATAACTCCCAAGCCGATAGAGCCAACCCCAATCTCTCATCCCAAGCTCCAATTCTACATTTACATAAGATAGTGCTAGGAAGTGAAACTCTACACATGCAAAATGAATTCATATTCTCCTCCCACCCTAGCTCCTCCTATAAATTTCCTTCTGTCTGGAGATGTCACCACAATCCTTCCCAAATTGCTTATTGTACAATAGAGTGTCCAGCCCTTTAGTCCTCATCTTTTTCCACTACCACATAGCTTCATAGATTTAGAGCTAGAAGAGACCTTACACATCAATGAGTCCAACTTCCTTATTTTACAGATATAAATGCAGAACTGATGGAAAGAAACGGAAAGAGACAGACAGACAGACAGAGACAGAAAGAGACAGAGAGACAGAGACAGACAGAGATAGAGACAAACAGAGAGAGACAAGACAAATAGACCAGGGTTAGTTAATTAGGTTTTTGGGTTCCTGGGGGGTTAAGTGACCTGTCCAGAGTCATACAGCTAGTGTCTGAGGCAGGATGTGACTCCAGGTCTTTCTGACTCCAAGTCTAGTGTCCTTTCAACTAATCCATGTTTGAATCTAAAAGTCCAGCAGTTTGTCATTTTGATTTACCAGGTCTGTAGAGCCCTGGAATGTCTCCAGGGTGAAGATGGATACAAAGAGACACTGAAGTCCAAATGTGGAATGGTTCCAGGCTTTGGGAGACTCCTAGTTGCTAATTCCACTTCACTCTCCACTGAAGTAGAGTGCAAGTAAATGATGTTATTGGGATGGGAGAGATGTGACATAAAGGACCTCCAAAGTTAGGGAACTCCACTATACTGTTGAGGAATGGGATTCATTCAAATTGTGCCTCTGATATTTACTACCTGTGAGATATCAACCAAGTTACAACTTCCTAGGCCTCAATTGCCCCATCTGTAAAATGGGTGGTTTGGACCAGCTGACCTCTGAGGTCTGTTCCAGCTCTAGAGTTACAATTCTACAGTCTTATCAAACTATTAGGGGATATTCTGAATAATTCATGGGGCTTCACAGAGGAAATGCTGACATACTACACAAAATCTGAGACAAGCCTTCTAGGATGACAAGGGTTCTTAACCTTTATTGTATGTGTGTCATGGAGCTCTTTGACAGTTTTAGGAAGCCTATGGATCTCTTCCCAGGATAATTTTTTAAAAATTCACAATTGAAATAAATAATTTCAGTTAAAAGTTAGTGAAAATAAAAATGTAATTTTTTTCTACCATCCAAGTTCATAGACCCCAAGAAATCTATTCATGAATCTTTGATTAAGAACCCCTGCTCTAGTCTAGAATCTGCCTCATTGAGACTATTCCAAACCTCACTACCAAAACCTTGACAAAAACTGTGATAGTTAGATGGCAGAGTGGAGAGTAGACAGTAGCTGCAGTTAGGAAGACATGAGTTCAGATCTTCAACTCAGACACTTACTAACTGGGCAAGTCACTTGACCTCCACTACTTGAATTTCCTCTTCTATAAAATGGGGATAACAATAGTACCTACTTTTCAAAGTTGTTGTGAGGATCCAATTTATAAGCACTGGACCAATCTTAAAATATTATATAAATTCTAGCTGGCTCTGGGGGAGGTGGAGGGAATCTATGATTTCATACATGGAAGAACTGCAGTGGAGAATATTCTTCTCCAGCAATGTAAATGAGTAAGTGCGATAAAATTCATAGTGTTAGATTTACCTAAGGGCACTGAGTGGTTGAAAGACTTAGCCTGGGTCATATAGCTAGTATATGTCCCAGGCTGGACTTCACAACCTAGATCACGCTGTCTTCAAGTCCATATATGTACTATGTACTATTCCATGCTTCCTCTTGGGACGAAGGCTAAGTCTCCTTAAATGACCAGCTTCTCTTGGTGTGGTCTTATGACCTCCTTTCCCAGAATGCACTGGGGGCTTAACAAGGAGCACATTATGGTAGTTCTTGTACTTGGCTCACCTTGGCTGGGTAGGGATACATGTACAGAGAGAAAGGAAAGTGTACCCAGTCATGAAACAAAGGGAAAAATACAAAAACATAAATGAGAAAATGTCAGTAGTAGAGAAAGAGAATGAAGTCTCTTATTTAGAGGCCGAAAGTCAGGCTGGGACCTGGGGAGAATGATGAATCTTCCAGAGATTTTCTGAGACAGACATTATAAAGGTTGTTGTACAAAGGCCCGATTGGGTCAGTTGTAGTTTAACATGTATTAGCCACAGACCTGATCGCATGTCAAGGGTTTTGCCAGCAGCAGCTGAAGACCCTGCATTAAGTCTCTGACTGAGGAAGAAGGATGAGAATCAGTCTTGTCATCCCATTATAAAGTCATCAACCCTCTGGGATGTGTGCAGTCACTTTAAAGCCTGGGATTTGTGAGGCTTTCATGAAGTTGTTTATTCCCAAGATATCTGACTTGCAGTTCAGGTTTACTACTACCATGTACAAAAGTGGTACCTGGACTTCTGCCTCAAGGTTCAAACAACCAGAACTAA